TTAATAAATTCTTTATTTTATATTTTAAATACCTTGACGGTGTTCACAAAAAAGATAAACAAGTGCTTGAATAACAAATAGTTGCTTGTTCAAGCGATCATAGAGAGAGTATTTCAAATGCATTGCGATGTATATAATAAGAATAAACAAATAAAATATTTAAAACATTTAGGAGGGAAAAAAAAAAGTGGAAAGAAAAAAAAAAAGAAAAAAAAGGGGAAGATATTCCCCCTGCTCAGCTGGTCAGTGACCCATAAATATCTCAGAAGGGGGACATGTAAGTGTTCAAGTGCTTATGAGAGCAACTGTGAATTCCAGGGAGGTGTGTGGGAAAAGGAAGGGGCTTCTGACCATAAGTGAAATGACATCCTGTCAATAACATGCAAAAAAATAAAATAATACATATACACAAATAATACATTTCATTTTAATGCACAAAGGATCTATCGTTGTATGAACAACCTAAGAATAGGCCTGTATTGCCAGTGCAGCAGCCAGGCAGCAGGGTTAGAGGTGGCAAAATGTGATAACTTTTCTGTAGTTTCTTTCCTGCCCACTCTGTACATTTGTGGTTAGATTCAACAAGAAAACTGAGGCTCCTTATTAACCAGGAAACATGAAACCATCTGTCCTTCTCTTATGTGATGTTTTGTACATTTAAAAGTATTTCTGCATATTAAGAAGGATATATGCTCATTAACGGGTAAGTGTTTTTAAAACAAAAAATATTTTTTTTTTTGCACCCCCACCCTGACCTAAATATTCCTACTCTCCCTTTCTAGAGATCCAACGAGCATGGTTCCGCTATTGTTTACATCCAGCACCACCATGCTTCCTCTGCTGGCCGCACCTGCTCATTACAGTCCCATAGACATTTTTGGGGTGCCTTCCAACTGCTGCCAGGAGGAGACTTGCAGCGCTGGATGTCAAGAAATAGTGTAGCAGCAGCCCTTGGTGTATAAGTCTGTGGAGGGCGAGGATGGGAAAGTTTAGGCCATAGGAGGTGGCAAAAACAATAAGTCGATGCATATGCGATCGGCTCGACCGAGCCGCTCGGCAATGATCGGGAGCTGTACGGGCTATTGTGAATAGCCCGTACTGCACCCCCTCGGTTCTACTGAATCGAAGCGGTCCTGGGGCCGAAGCTAGCCGAAGGATCGGCCGAAGCTACGGCCAGATCCTTCGGCAGCTTCGTGAATAGACCCCTAAGTGTTCTTTGTGGAAAGTGCACTTATTCTTTAAATGCCAGCATTAGATTTACTAAAATAATGTATTGACATGTTGCGACATAGCTTGTACAAAAGGATTCCATCATTAATGTGGGCCCAGGGCAGTACGATGTCTCAATATAGTGCTGCAGAAGATGTGAAGTACTTGAATAATGCAATAAAAGAGGCTCCTTTCCTTTTTTATACTATTTGAAATAGATATTTTAGTACAATGTTGATATAAAATGCAATACATAATGCTTTATAACTGATCCTTTTGTTTTACTCTATGTCATTTTTTTAAACATGCACAGCAGAGCCATAGTTATTCGGCTCAGTGAGGAGCATATTGGCATTTGATCCTCCTTATCCTCATGACAAAAGTCTTTTGGCAGGAAGTAGACACACTAAAGCCTCTTCCCTTATTCATATTCATCTCTAACTCTGCTCCCTATAGACATAACAGTGGCTGGAGCCAGTGGGAGCAGAAGGTTTGCTCATCTATATATTATCTCTGGCTAAATGACCACAGAGTCCAGCATGGCCCCACAGTAAGCCAGTTCTGTAGAATAGATGCTTATTATTAAACCATAGGTAATATGTGTCCACTGTGCATTGCACAAATATAAATGTAAAACCTCTATAGATAACACAATGGATTTAGATCAAAATTCAAAAGTCGAGGACGGTAAAGAGTTAAAGATCATTCAGTGATGAAAACTGGTTTTAATTTATCCCCTAGGTAATAGGCAAATACAACTATAACAGCAAAGTAGGAAAGTTGCAAGGCAATCATTCCATTTATTTGTAATAGACACTATATATAATTTAGTAATGATGTATTGTATATCATTACCTTCTTATCTTAATATACTCAAGAACAGTGGACCACATTTAGCAGTGATTTTGACACTATAATCCAATAATAAATCCAAGCCTGATGATTGATTCTTTCCCAGAGACTGGTAAAGTGTGGGGCACCTGCTATAATTTATAAAATAATTTGCCAAACAGATTGTAATTGACCTGATGGGTGACATGAATCTAATGTATATAGGCAACTTTTAATACTTTCACAGCAGTGTGTAGATCATACCATTTTATACTTCCCGAATGTTCTTATTTTGATGGGACACTACCATTTGAGTCTTAAAAGGTACAGGTTTTGAGTAATGGGCATTTTCTCATATATAGTTTAATTTGCATCCCATATCTTTGTTTATTTAATTATTTATTTTCATTTAAAAAGAGTGGTTTGCCAAATACACTGTAGTGTATGTTATGTGTCAGAGTATGAGGATGTTTCCACAGTTAGATTATTTTTTAAAGTGCAAATCATTAGGTCTATTTATAAAGCAGTGAATGTGACTTTCACTGAAAATTCTTTGGTAGAGAATTATTTGCCGGCATCTGAAACACATGGGCCCACCAGAGAATGTTTAGTGTAAGCCACATTTATTGCCTTATAAATAAGTGTTTTCTTTTTTAGCACTGGTACTAAACCTTTGAAATAGTGTATGTATAAAAACCAAATAGCTGATTATCCTAAAAAAGAGACATTAGCTTATTTTGTTTGGTAAAAAAAACAAAACACAAACCTAACAAACATATTATTCCTTAAATGTAATGTGATTTGAGTAAGGGACGATGCAATTGTCTTAATTTTGTGTTACCAAATAATGAATCTGTCATATTCGTGTTACAGCAGTTCTACCAACATGCTTTATGAAAATCATCTAACCACTCCAACATTGTTTTTGAACTGCAAGAATTAAAATTTTCTTTAACCAGATTTGTTTATTGCAATTTAAATTGTTTCTGTGTGTATATAATGTATATGTATACTGTATATATATATATATATTATTCTGACTCAATAGTTATAATTAGTTGTAATTGTAAGCAAGTGCTCAAACATTTATCACACATTTTACTGACCAGCAATGAAATTCTGCCAGTA